TGGGCAAGGAGATACAAAATGAAGAAATTAACCAACCGCTTTTGTTTATTAATACCTATCATTTTCACAAGTGGAAAGAAAATGCAGATGAACTGAAGAAATTGATTGAAGTCAAAAAAGGTATCTGATAGGAAAATGACACGTACAGTTGTRTATATAWTATATATATATAAAACTCAATTCTTGACGCGATTAAAAATCTCAGATATCTGGCAACGTCTTTCCTATCCTTATTTCCAGGCTCTCTCGATGGAAAAAAGAAGGGGAACGAAAAAGGGAGAGCTTCATTTAACCCTCCCCTCCCCCACCCCACCTTTCCTCGAGCCACCGCGTAAGCCTGAAACTCAGGCGATGTCTCTATCTTCTCAGTATTCTCAATRCCSCTAAATCTACACACTAGCGATGGTGCAGTCCATTTTGTTTTTCGTCTGCCTGTCCTTTTACCAATCATTCATTCGTTAGCTCTTTCATTATCTCATTCATCCATTGTATTTGTAATTTCAGATACAAGACCCGTCATTGCTGTCAAGTATGTACTTGATATAACATATGCGCTTGATATATTGAGGCCGTATTTAGCATGCGTAAGGGGTTTTAGGGGAAAACCGCTAGGCTCGGACTTGTCAGTTTCCGTCGGCGCAGCGATAGAGCGGATTTCGTATGAGTGGGACACCGTTACCGCACGGTAACCGCACAGTTACCGGACCTGGCCTTCACAATTTTGGCGAAACAATGGGGCACTAGAATTTGGTTACAGTACGATTACGGTCACAGTACAGTACCGTCCGTTTCCCACTCATACGAAATTCGCTCTATCACAACGGTATTACGTCGATAGCACGACAAGAAACGGGACTTACTTGTTACCATTACGTTCATTAGGACACCAAGGGATCATGTCTCCAAAAAGATGCAAAAAATCCATTGCATGTTGAAAAGCTCTAGTTTCAAAGATCTTTTTAAATCTTTTTCTTGTAGAAAAACCAACCATATGTCGCAAAGTGATGTTGTATTTGTGTTTCGCTCATATCTATCATGGTTCAGTACATGGAAGGCTGACAACTTAGACTCAGAATTATCAGACAGTATTTATAAGAAGGCTATTTGGGCGTTTCTCTGCAGAAAATTAGGTATGTTTGCATTAAAAAACATCTATGTCCTGTATATTCAGGGGTGGATCCGGCTGGTGGGTGCAGGGGGAGCGCTTTGCCCCCCCCCCTGAGATCTGTATACTTAATACTTCCTTTATTTTGTATCTTCATGGTAATGATTTTTGTAGGGTGCACACCCTCCTGAGAGTCCCGCACCCCTCCCTGAGGAAAATCCTGGATCAACTCCTGATATTACATTTAACGACTCATTCTTCTTCAATCTTTGTAGGTATGGGAGACCCACCGACGAACGACCCAGTTCTSGACGGCGGTGACGAGCATGTTATCATAGGTTTTGATGATACCAATGTTACTAAAAGCCAGGCATCTCAACTTTGACAATAAATTCAAATTATTATTTTTTATACCTAAAAATGCGCTCATAAAGGATCGAGTATGCTGTTGTTTCAGAAACCAAATTGAATACTGAATATACAAAAATAACAATTTTAGCCCAGTGTATGCGCTAGCTGCGCTTCAAAATGACAATGTTAAACTTAAGAATTTCGTTGTTCACAAGCAAATTATTATTAATACTTTTGAATCTTTTGAGTAAAATTGATTTATTTKTAACCGAGCTTTCGTCCTAAGCAGCCACTTTCAAGGTTGTAGTACACATGATGATCTAATCTTCGTAAATCTTCGCAGCTCAGATGAAAAGCGTTTGAGGAAACTGTACAATACGCGCGCGCACAAATRAAAGRYAGTGAATCAAAATATAGCAAATGCAACAAATTAGAWTTTTTTTAGAATAAAATTTTAATCTTATAATTAAAGAAATATCAAAATGAGCGGTTGTCTTCAATGGAATAAATGAGCGGTAGTTTTCAAGATGTATACAAGACTTTCAAAAATGGCGGTAGTGCACGATCGCCAATATTGGGGGACTAGTGACAAATCATGGAAACGATGTAAAAGAGAAAGCTCTCTTAACAAGATTTGAGTGAGCTACCCCTCACTAGGTGTTACCAAGTTTAATAGACAGGAGGCGTTTATTAGAGAGAGGCGTTTATTCTAAAATACAACTGTAACAATGTAATGTACCGCATGTTATGATTTATGACTTTTACGACCTGATACAGTAAGCAACGAAATGCAGTAGAATTAAAGAACGCTATCCTCATTTTGAACTAGAAATTGAACTARACGTTACTCACTTACAAGTGTTAATGAAGCAAGAAGACAATTAAATTGATTTCTGTTACCGGCACTCCTAAAGGCCCGTTTACACTTGCAATTTGCAGCGCGATTGTCGCGCGACAATCACCACTTTGTTCTCTCGCACCTCAAATCGTACGTGTAAACAGCCCCGCGATTGTCGCGGCSATCAAAAATCGCCGCGAGTTGCAGCTAAATTTCAAGCATGTTCGAAACTATAAGCTTTTAATCGATTCCATAGGAAGCCCAATTGAACCTTTCSTTCAGCCTGGATAATTTGGGTTTCCTGTGGTGTCTGGTTCTATAGAGTAAAATGGCGGCGATTCGAGCATGTTGTTGCCATGCCGCATTTGAGCAACGGCTGCARARTTTATACTCAGTATGAAAACAAGAGTGAACTRCATTTTCATTGAWSATAACACTTAAASCWAAWCTGTAAGATARCTGTWATGGCGGCTGTGGTACAAATGTCTGCTGGTCAAATTTTACCGATGAATGTAGAGCTCGACAACATTCTTCGCCAAATACACGCTTCTTACACACCAGAGATRCGTAAAGATGTTGTTAATTTTACTAAAGAGAACTTGCAAGGTGAATATAAAGGTTTTAAGTCTGGYGARGAYCTTCCTGAYGTTTTAAATACRATGAAAAAACAAGGACAAATAGGCCCTTYGAACACYGAACCATTGAAATATTATGTTAAAAATGCAAGTAAAGAAAACAGGAAGATGCTTCTGAAAAAGGTACATGATTTCAAATTGAAATACCAGAATACAGATAACAGAGATTTTGTTGGAAGGCAAASAGATGTTGACATTGTTCTTTCTACTATAGAAGATTCAAAAAGCAATGTTATAAATGTATTTGGCGAGAAAGGAGTTGGAAAAACAACSTTTGCARGCAAAGTTGCAGAGAAGCTTGCCCTACCAGAACAGATACACTCTGTTGATTTACAGCAAGCACGCGATGTCACTACCATAATAAGCTCAATTTTGCTGGCTTTTAACAACCCGAAGGCAATTATTCCAAGCAAGGAAGTAGTGTACGAAATGATTGAAAATCTTGAGAAGCATTCTGTTATAATTTTRGACAATTTTGTTCTAAATCAAAGCAAAGATCTTGAGCTTCAACTAAATGAGTTCATCACTTTCCTTAAGGAAGCAACAGAGCACGACAAGGGAAACAACTTAACCATCATGATTACATCACATTCTGTGCTGRCAATAGACTTTATTAAGGATCACAGATTAGAAGCACTTTCATCTGACAACTCTGCTGAATTACTAAAAGAAGTTTGTGCAGATGAATCCACAAAAGATCAAATTGGGCATTTGTGTAAAAATTCCCCTCTTCATTTACAAACAACTGTTGCTGTTTTGAGGGAAAAGCTTACAGAGCCACAAGAGGTACTTGATAAATGCCAATCAAAAAGCCAACAAGATATAAGTAATGTTCTTACACAGGCCTTTGAAGTGTTYTCACCAAATATGAAAAAAGTGGCAATTACTCTCTCAATGTTTCAAAGTCCATTCACCATCAACTTAGCCGCTATGCTTTTAAAATGTTCATCGAGTGAAGCAAACTTATATTTGGGAAGTTTGAAGTTCAGGCACTTTCTMTCCTTGGTAAACAAGAAATATTCCATGCATTCTTTAGCTAAGGAAGTCTTAGCAAAGAAAGGTAAAGAGAAGAACCATGTTGACACATACAATGAAGCTCAGGAAACKTTTTCAAGACTTTTTGTGAAGAGAGCAAAAGAAATCTCAGATCTGTCAGACAAAGACTATATTAAAATGTACCTTCAAATTCAGAAAGAGAAGCATAATATAAATTTTGCTTTTAAGATATCATTTGAAAGAGGTTTTCTATTAACTTCAAGTGAGTTTCGTGATAATTTCCATGTTTCTGTGATTGCCAAGTGTTTGCAGATAGGACATGAAAGAGCTGAGCTTTTCAGAGATTTAAGTGCAGCAGCTTTAAGCAGAGGTATGTGCAATTCTAATTTTACATCATATACTGTATGTTGCTTTTTTTAGATTATTTGATGCTGGGATGCTCTTGTTTCATAATAAATGCTTTTTTAATGCCTCAATAGCTCTAGGCAGGCAATGAGGGTACTATTAATTGGTGAGACTTGGACTGTCAGTACTKAACTGGGACCACAGTGATGATAGACTGACTTWTAACTGCTTGGCCATCCCTGCTTTCCTACATTAGGGAAGCAAGGGTGGTCGAGTGGTGAGAGCGCTGGACTGTCACCACTKTGGTTCTGAGTTGGGGTCATATGTGGCTTGAATGGTGGGAACTAGCGGTAAACATGAGTTTGCTTCTGTTCTCTCCCTTGCTTCAAGGGTTTGTTCTCCGGTTTTTCCTCCCTCAGCAAAAATGGAGTATTTCAATCCTAGCTATGCTCCATGATCAGATATGCATCGGTTGGTTGGCTGCTTTGTGTGTGTGATGTAACTATGTTATTGTCCTCACAATGATAGCGCCCTTGTATACCACATAACTGACCTGATCACGTGGACTGCATCTTTTGTAATTCAGCACTTGGGCTACGAGGAAGGGCGATTAGCTATCACTAATTATTATTATTATGAATTGTTATATTAATTAAAATTTGGAATTTCATGCTTCACTTCACTTTATTTATTGTCAGTGCAACCTGAAAAACTGTAGCAATTTCAGTTTGAAGCCTCAGTTTTTAAGAGTAAGCACTTGATCCTTGACACTGAATTTGCCTGCGTGGCCAGGCGTTCCTAGCTGCTCTGAGAGAGTTTGGGCCCCTCTGGGTTTCTCTGGCCCAAACTCTTTCTGAGCGGTTATATATATTACACTGAATCTGAGATCCAACAAGATTTTGTCTCAGCTGGAATCTGGAAACCAAATACTTGGAATTCAGAATCTGTACCAGTGTAAACAGAATCTGATAAATTAAGACAAATCTGGAATCCAAATTATTGACTCCAAATGTTTCCAAATTGTAAACCAGTCGCTGTAAACTAGTCCAATATGCGTTGGAATTCAGAATTCTTTTCGAAAATTTTCATGGAATTTGGAATCCAGGATCTCAGAATCCGTAGTCCAGTAACTTGGAATCTGGAATCCAGTAATGTTACAGATTCTTTGTCACGGTGCAAACTTTTCCTACAAGCAAGACTGGGGGAGGATTTTTTATGATACTTTTTTTYGCTCTTTGTCTRTCTCTAGGTGAAGTAGTGTCATACATTCATTTTTCAAGTCAATTGATATTGGTGCTTTTGGAAAAGACTTCAACCAAAACAGAAGCAAGAGAAGTGCTAAAAGAGATTGGAGAAACCTTGCAAGAAGCGCCAATAGATTCAAGTACCGCTTKCTTATTAGCGGAGAGCAGTTATGAATTCGCCAAAGGAGAAATTGCGTATAATGACTTTCACAACAAGATATGCAGCCGAGAGCAGTTTGACGAAGGGATGGCCTGCCATAAAAAATGTTTACAAACAAGAAAAGAGTTGTTAGGAGATCACACCGAGACAACAAGATCCTTAAATGCTGTGGGGAACTGYTTCATGGAGCTCGAAGAACACGAGATAGCTTTACATTACTTCACACAAGCTATAGAAATGAGAAAACGSCTCTCAGGTGACAARGAGCACATCGACAGTCCTACTTTCATGAACCAAGTAGCTACCATYCATGAAGAGATGGGAAAAAAGTTTAAGAGTCAGTCACGAAAAAGCAAAATGCCCGAAAAGAAAGAGCTTTTCTTCCAAGCTCAACGTGAATTCCAACAAGAAGTGGATAAATTCMAGGAAGCCTTGGACATGGAAAAAAGACTYCACATATATGGAAATATTCGCACTGCAACGTTCTACAGGAACCTCAGCAATGCATATTCTTACCTTGAGAAATACAAAGAGGCTTACATCTATGCAAAGAAAGCCCTTCGCATTAGAAAGAAGWTACTTGGYATAGATGTGGACACAGTTCGYAGCTACTACCAGATCGGTGTTGCTTATGAATGGCTTGATAAGTCAAAGAAAGCGCTAAAGTATTATTACAAGGCTTATAATATGGAGAATAAATTGCCCCCTGGAGAAAGAAGTCGAGTTAAGTTGAAGATTGAAGGAAAAATCCAGAGTTTATTGGGCGATATCGAGGAAGCTGTAGAATATGACAGCAGAACTGATGAGGAAGTTATGGTAAGTTTGTAAAACACTAATATGTGAATGGAAAATACGTATACCTGTACGACAGTTACGACGAGGAAAATAAAACTTTTATTTTTTACATGTTATCATTCAGAGATTCTTCAGTTTAATTGAAAGTTCTTTTAGATGGTGGAAACTACAGTAGCAGTAAACTAGTGTGAGCTGTGTCGGTGTTTCTAAAGAAACAGTTGTGTAAAAATATAAATTTAAAACCGTAACTTACTGACGTTAATCCGACGAAGGATTAACGTTCAAAACGTCAAGTTCTTTCACCTACTTTTTTACGGTGTTGAATTTATCTTTTTACAMCACTAATTCTATGAAATGTTTGYTTTAGACTTCAGATGACGAGGATGCTGATAAAAAGACTGCAGAAGAGGAAATATACTACTCAGGTGCGATTGATTTTAAAGTAACACCTTCATCCAGTCAAGGGACAATGTCTGATCAAAATTAAAGTCCAATTGGAYAAATCTAGKGGAGACAYAGAATGACCTCTAACTAAYAGGCCYGTCTYACATGRRGTTCTAGACTAAGGCACCCATGTAAACTAACTTGCMTAAGTTAAATGTATCCCTCTATTTATAGACGAATCATCGTCCGGATTTGGCTCGTCTGATGAAGAAGAAACAGAGCCTGAAATTGATGYGTTGTCAAGKCCTTCCAMAGAGCCGCCCAAACCTACACTGACTCCTAGTGAACCGTTGGAAAGAGACGAAACATTGCTGACCTCTGGCGAGGAAGACACTCTATCAGAAGTACCCTTTGCAATGAAAGGCTATACATTGTTACCCTTGAATGCCTTTGACGATGAAGAAGAAATTGACTCAGAAGAAGTTGAATGTGAAGATGTCGAGGAGAGGTAAGGTAGAATTATACGGGATGATTTTGCAGTTAAATGTATTGATGTTATAACCGTTGTATACGATACAACAGTTGTAGAGGAATTGATAAGGTCGAATAGACGAAACTAGTTTTCCTCAAACATTGTGTTTTCTGTGTGTCAAAGGAGGGGTAAGAATTGAAATTATTTTGACGTCCTACAATATGAAGTATACAAACTCCTTTAAGGTCCAAGTCCGACAAATTTCAAGACATTGTAACGATTCTGATGATGTTATAACCGTTCAACCAGTTTCTTTGTGAACTTTGGAATGTCTTTAGAGGTATTTTTTTCAAATATAAAAAGCACTCTCCAAATTGGCAACGTCACTACTTTTATGACGCTTTTTTCGTAATGACAGATTTGTGCAAATAGCTTGATTTCGAATAGTCTGTGTGTCTAGCTTCGAACCGTCAGGTATATGTGCGTGACGGTGTGACCAAACAATCTCAAGGGGACTCTTAGCACAGGAAGTCCACCGCTGGAGTTTGGAGTTGTATATCACCGCTAAAAGTTGCGACTTGGAAAGTTGATTTTCATAATCTGTAGAGCCATATGAATGTTTTTTTTTAACTACTTGGGACCTCAGAGTCCCTTTAGTTTGAATTTGTATCACATATACTGGCTAGCTACGAAACCAAGCAACAAGCAGGCAAATCTATCGCCACCCATAGTCTCCAAATTTGTCTAGTTTTCAGTTTTGAGCGCGCAAGTGTCTCAGGATAACCTCGACATGGATGGGTTTGGGCTATTTTGGGAGACACTTTTGTGGATTTTTTTCGCCCGAAAAACGTTTTTATCGATGCCTCTCGTCCAAAATAAGGTAAAAAACGCGGTTGACTTACATATGCTGTCTCAAATAAAATTTCGTTTTGATTTAGTTTCGGCGCGAAAAAAGGATTTTTGTCCGGATGGTTTTTGTCTCTTTTTTAGGAGATTTCGAGCGGTCTCCTCCCTTGTCACTCTCTCTATATATATGGAAGGGAAATTTTTTAAAACCCACTTATAATGCATTGTGATACTAAATAAAATAAAAGTAGACCGTTTTTTGAAGTAAAATTATATTTTTGACTATTAAAGATTCAAAGTCATTGCTTGGGCTCCCTGTGCTTAGAGTCTGTGACAAGTGTCTAATTTAGACTAATTTAGACCCGCGAGGCACGGAATCGTGACGTAAAACACAGGTAATCCGCATTTTGCCAAGAACGCGAGCTGATAACATATATATAAAAAAGCGTGCGCATTCGAGAAGCAGGCAGGCAGATTATAATTCTGTTTTAAATTGCAATTGTTGCATCATTTATTTCAGCAAGCTAATTGGATCAAATGAGTGCGTCTGGAAGATTAAAGACTCTGGGGTTCTTCTGTATTTTGAGCCCAACACATTAGAATCAGACATAATGGTGAAGTGCCTTCTACGCAGTCCGATTCCAAATCCTTTGGACCCAGGAGAAACTCTGGTCAGTAGGGTCGTCCATCTAGAAGCCAAGAAAATGTCAGTAAACAAATCTTTTACTGAAGTAATTCCACATAGTGGACCAACTYRCACCAAAGGCTATGAAGTTATTGTCAAGGAGTTCTGTGAAGAGACAAATTCTTGGAGAGATGTTGATGGTGACTTGTATACAAATGTACAGAATGAAAAAGGTGCTTTAGGAAATATGCGAATTATGATCATTTATCGAAATGACTGAAAACAATCAAAGAGCTTCAAAATTGACTAAACTTACTTTCTTTATGTAGACCTTCCTATRGATAACATCTTGTCCAGCGCCAAAAACATGAAATTTCCATCTATTTGTTTGAAAAGGCAGAGTGTTGGTATCGTATGTGTTGTGTCACGTTTAGTATCCGACACAATGTCTGTGGAGTCTTCAAGATGTACTTTAACTTCGTCAGTTTTCCCTGACATTTGTGTTGAGCTACAAGAGGACACATTCAAAGGTTATGCAGAGGTTTCTCTRAAGGTRAGTGTGTATTGGTTCATGGAAGAGGGGAAGWCTCGGRTATTGAGCAAAATTCAATGTTYCTTTTGGTTCATGCTGCATTWATCTATGGGATTCGGTACGGCCAATKTTTTTWWTT